TAACACTAAAAATATAATAAAATTGTAAAAATTGTAAGTGCATAAATATGCATCTAAACTGAAATAAAGAATATCATTAATACTTGTTATAAAAAACAATAAATTATTAAAAAAATTAAATTTTTAAATAATGTTACGTTGTAGGAGTTTAGATTAGATTATAGCATTCTCAATTTTATAGGTAAAACCGTTTGTTATAGGAATATTTAAGTAGGATCAAGTTAGTTATAATGCCCACTGTATATATTTTTTATTCAAAAATATATGACATTTGTATTCAAAATATTCCTGGTCTTTCAAGGAATCCAGCAAACATACCGCGTAATGTGAGCACGTGAGGTTCTGGCAAGGCACCGCGTTAACGTGGAAACGCGGAATGCGGGACCGCGTAAAGTGAGGGTTAACTGCGCGCGCACGCACGCACGCACGCACGCACGCACGCACACACACACACACACACACACACACACACACACACACAGGTTGACCATCAAAAATCCGGCAATCGATAAACCGGAACCTTCAGTTTTCCGGCATGGATTTCGGAGCGCATTTTCAAATTTCCTGCCTTGGCGCACCATTGTTTTCTGGATGCGCCGTTTATGTTTTGATAGCGCTGTACTCCAGAATCAGCTGTTGGGTCTTGCTTGCACCTGCTAACAAGCATTCGTGCTCATTCCTTCCGATTTTATCATTTAATTAGCCTGGTAAACATTAAAATTTCATTTGCTTTTCATTTAGTGTTTAATTTTCTTTGTTTTTAAAGGACTGTGCAGGTAGTAATTTTCTGTTAAATATACTGTACAGTATTACCCAGCTTTACACGGTTTCACTTTCCTCCGCTCATTTACACCTTGCCAGAACCGGCTACTCATATAAGCGGGAAGTATAATTTTTTTTTTTATTTAGCTCATAAAATTCATACAAATTACCCGGCCAGAATATAATTTACATTGCTAGAATTCTTACAATATGATGATCATTTTGAATATAAACATCATGGATTTTGCATTAGACATACAAATTTTAGATCTAATGTAATAATTTGGTTTACACAAAGCAAGTATTTTATCTTTTGTGCAAAATATATGAAGTTTACATTCAAAATATTCCCAAGACCTGCAAGGAATCCAGAAATGTCAATTATATTATCCTAACTTTAGTCTCAAATATTATTTATTACTAAAAATGTAAATTACTATTTTCTCCCAAAGCTTCTCTGGTAGGGAGGGACGGACCGACCATCTGGCGCGGTTGGAAGAGGGGGGGAGGCAAGTTGGGGTACTTTGATTGACAGATAGTGTCGTGAAGAATATTTTTTTTTTATTAACTGAAGATATTTGTTTTAACTCATAAAATTCATACAAATTACTGGACCAGAATATAATTTACATTGCTGGAATTCTTACAATATAATGATCATTTTGAATATAAACATCATGGATTTTGCATTAGACATACAAATTTTAGATCTAATGTAATAATTTGGTTTACACAAAGCAAGTATTTTATCTTTTGTGCAAAATATATGAAGTTTACATTCAAAATATTCCCTGACCTGCAAGGAATCCAGAAATGTCAATTATATTATCCTAATTTTATTCTGAGGTATTATTTATTACTAAACGTTAAAATCTAGTGGTTTCACCCAAACATTTCTGAGAGAGGTAGGAGCTAGTGAGCTGGGAAGAGGGGGGGGGAGAGGGGATTTGAGTCCATTATTTGAATGGACATTAACCTGGCGACTGTATTTCTCTTAAATATTAATTGTGTGAGCACCATCATAAAATTTAGATGTTATTTTTACTACAACATAGGTATTGTGTCGGAAAAAGTGGAGTTTGGGGGTCGGGCTAGTCTCTATTGGAATTAACCCCATATGTTCTGTTGTTTACTTTACGCGGTTTTCACTTTCCGCGGTACGCTGTGGCTTCAATTGACCGCGTAAATCGGGGTACTACTGTACTCGTCTATAATTCTACCTCGTTTATAGGTCGACCCTGATTTTTTGACCAAGAAATCATTAATTTATGATATGCCTCGTTTATAGGTTGACTTAAGTTTTTGAGGGTAATGGAACAAAACCTTCGCTAAAAATACTCTACGTCCTATAAACTGAGGGTCGCCGTGCCTGAAACACCGAGCGCTGAAGGCAAATTGATTACCATTATTACGACACTTTACACTGAAACGCGGGTAGTTTCAGCAAAAATATTGTATATTTCCATTCAGGTATTTATTCAAGTCAATTAGGAGGGAATACTATTGTAATACAGTGGTCCTTCGGTTAACGAACTCAATTCATTCCAGAGGGTCGTTCGTTAACCGAAAATTTTGTTAACCGAATCCATTATTTCAATGGGATTGGGTAATTGGTTCCAGCTCACAGAAAAGTACATACAAAGCAAAGCCATAAATGCATATGGTCAGAAACACTCCAAAAATTCCCCTAAATCACCCTTAAATCACTATATATTTACATACATATACACTCTTACTCTTAAATCACTACTGCAATGTGATACAGGTGATTAATTTTTATCTCGTGTGCAAAATATATGACGTTTATATTCAAATTATTCGCTGTACTGCAAGGATTCCAGCAATGTAAATTATATTCTCGTAACTTTAGTCTGAGATATTATTTAAGATAAAAACTTAAAGCCTACTGTATAACCACCAAACCCTGGCTGGAAGTGGGGGAAGGGGGGGGGGGAAGAGGGCGGGAGGAAGGGGCAGGGGTTGACAGTGACATGTTTGATAGTTGGTGCCGAAGGTCTAGTGAAGTATTTATTTGTTTATATATGTCCTTTACATTGAATTTTTGTTTTTTGCTTTTAAAATGTCATAGAAGTGAACGGGGAGAATATAATATACATTGCTAGAATTCTTATAAGATAGTGATTAATTTGAATGTAAACATGCAATAGTTTGCACTAGACAAAAATTTTAGTAATCATTTAGTACATTATTTTGATTACATGTACAGTACAGCTTTGCCCTTAGGACAGTGTGTACATGTAAATGAGTTTCAATAAATGAATAAAGTTACATATATCGAGCCAAAAATAATAGTTGAAAAACTTTATGTAGACAGCTTGGATGGCTAAATTTTAGAATGACCAAGAATTTTAATATAAAAAATGCACAAATATTAAAGACCACAATTTCTTGATATTTACTCCACTGGAAACGAATGTAAACATAGAACAGATTACTGAATTGGCAGACTATCCCATCAGCTGATGCTCACAACAAAACGCGTTTGTCATAAGGATTTCGTTAATCAAAGTTTTGTTCGTTAACCGAAATGAAGATCCTTATGGGAGGTAATTCGTTAACCGAAAATTCGCTAATCGAACCGTTCATTAACCGAGGGACCACTGTACAGTACAATACTTATTTTGACCTTTTTATTCAGCTTGTCATATAATTTTTATGCAAATTACTGATTATATATTGCATATTTTCTTTGGTAGTATTTAATATTTTATATTATCAATGATAAAATATAAACCATAAGAGGCTGATCATACGAGAATATATAATAATAAATATAGGCAAATAAAAAACGGTGGCAATGAGGTAAGGCACTGCGTCTCACACAGTGCTGCAGAGAGAATGTGTGTGTGTGTGTGTTGGTGGTGTTAGAGGGTATGTGTTGGTGGTGTTGAGGTGTGTCGCACGCACGCACGCACGCACGCACGCACGCACGCACGCACGCACGCACGCACGCACGCACGCACACACACACACACACACACACACACACACACACACACACACACACACACACACACACACACACACACACACACACGCACACGCACAGGGATTAAGACAACAAATATCCAGTGAGGGTCTTGTTGTGTGACTGCCTGGTGGCAAGATAAACATGAGTTGTTGAGGAGCGCTTGGCAACACCGGTGCATGTTACCACTCCTTTCCACTCCCTCTCTCTAATTACCCACACCTTTCTGCTTCTCACTCCATATTTTAAAATGTTATGTAACATAATGTTGAAGGGATACAACTTTGCTCATTTATACTTATACTTATCACAATCTCCACAAAAATACTGTAGCTTTTGTCTTCATTCAAGACATCTTTAGGTCATGAGACCCACTAATCCCCCACCCAAGAAAGGGTGACCTGACATTCCATCTGAAGGTCAGTAATATGAGACCACTAATCCCCCACAGCTCCATGGGATAAGGAATTTTTCCGGGTTTGAGAAAGTCGTCTGGTTTCCCGAAAATCTCTCATCCCCAGAAGTGCTCTGCACCAATTGTTCCAGCTAACAGGGATTATACAGGGTGCCCCCCCAAATTCGCGGTCCTCTATTATTCACGGATGACACCCTGGATGTACCCAAGAATGTCTGTGGGTAGTTTTAAAGTTGCCGGCATTTTTGCGGCTGGGACAGGGAGCCACTCGTTCTAGAGACATTGATTTCCTTTACCTGTACTGCATTGCAAATATGTGTGTGTGTATAGACATACACACACACACAAAACACATACAAATAAAAAATAATGGGAAAATACTCTCACAAATAATCAGAATAAAATGTATTAAAAATTTGACAGTCTATCCTCAAGTCCGTGCTTTAATAAATAAAGCACAGACTTGAGAGTAGACTGTCAAATTTTTAATACATTTTATTCTGATTATTTGTGAGAGTATTTTCCCATTATTATTTATTTGTATGTGTTTTGTGTGTGTGTGTGTGTTTACATGCACACCTATATACAATACAGTACATATAAAAGAAATAATTGTCCTATGGGCAAACACATAAAGGGAATATACACTACATTTTTTTTTTTGGTACAAAGTAAAATTCCCCCCCCCCTCATTGCAGGTTATCTCCAGCTACTACAGTTTCTGTTGGTACATAACTAAAATTGAACACTAAATTTCATAACAAAGTAACTAGAACAACTGCCATAACACCCATCAAGCTGATAAGTGGTAAAATAACAAATAATTTCACCTACCCTTCTGTAGATCTTTGATAGTTTCAGTTGCCACTTCTGTGAAGCCTAATTTAGCCAATTCCTCCCTCATTTCTTCCACAGTAACTTTCAAACGATAAGGCATCTTCTTACAGATATCTGTAACAATATTTCACTTGTCAGTAAATTCCACATATCAAATATTACATCCTGTAGACTACAATACTGTATACGTATAAAAATATTTTAAATTTACTACAAACAATGTTAATTTAATCACCACATATTTTCTTTAGTAACTACCTATTTGCACCAGAAACCTATCTTAAACAGTGTGATGGAACATTGAGAAAACTAAAGGGGGTTTCATTATCACACTGAAGTTTTTTCATCATTCATGCCCATTCCATTTCACAAACTGGGGATCTGTCATATTTTATACAGTAGTCTTGGATTATTTTATGACCTTTTATTTAATGTTTTATTTTGCAGTTCCCTAAATTACGTTACTTACTATAATTTTCCTATGGTATATACTCAGCGCCAGATTTAGGCCTGTGGAGGTTACTGGAGGCCCTGCACATTTCAGACATGCGGGAGTCCTGGGAAGCGTTGCAGTGCCAATTTGTAAGTTATCGGAGCTGTCAAAATAATTTCCGTCACCACTGACATCAGATGACGTTTCGGACTGTGATTGGGCCACGCATCCCCTCCGCCGCGAGCTGTGATTGGTCTATTTAACCTTGCTTGCCCAGTCAACAAAACATTACTGAGTTCTTCACCCGCCACCCACCACAGCCAGCCCAAGTCAGTGATAGTGAGGATATGGACTTTGAGGGGTTTGACAAAGAGGCCCTGCAAGCCTCTATGGTGGATAGTGATACAGGTGATACAGGCAAGGGCCAATAATCTGCCCTCTGCCTCAGAACCAACCCCCCATCCCCGTGTGCCCAGCCATCTCTTCTACTAACGTAAGTGTTAAAAAACCTAATATTATTGATATTTCTCTTAAATATTAATTGTGTGTGCATACCATCATGAAATTAAGATATTTTTACTACAACGCACGTATTGTGTCGGAAAAGGGGTAGTCTGGCGGTCGGCCCAGTCTCTATTTCAATTAATCCCACATGTTCTGTTATTTCGTTTACGCGTTTCGCATTATACATGGACCTCCACAGGTTTAATTGACCGCGTAAAATGAGACTATACTGTGTGTGTGTGTATATATATATATATATATATATATATATATATATACTCTTTCTCTATATATATATATATATATATATATATATATATATATATATATATATATATATATATATATATATATATATATATATATATATATATATATATCTGCTATATATATATATATATATATATATATATATATATATATATATACCTCACTGCTATATATATATATATATATATATATATCTATATATATATATATATATATATATATATATATATATATATATATATATATATATATATATATATATGCTGATAACCACAAGGAAAGAAGAAAACACGAAGTTCCCAAGCGCTTTCGTGTAATTCACATCTTCAGGGGTGAGTACAGACTAGAGAGAGAAATACAAACCAAGGTGTATATATACAAATGTTAATCAAGAACTCCCCCAACAACACAATTGGTTGCATTTATAAAGTTCCTTGCAAGGAATGTAATATGTTTTACTTAGGCCAGACAGGTAAAGATCTTGCAACTAGAATTAAACAACACAAATACAGTGTTAGGACAGGCCAGGAATCCAATGCTCTGTTTGTTCATTTGAGGGATAACAAGCATTGCATTGACTGGGATAATGCCTCCTCAATATTACCATGTAATTCAATTGATAGTAGGAACATCATAGAATCTAGTCTTATTAAACATGCCGAAGCATTCAACATGAATTTGAGTAACGGCATGTACAAGCTGGACAATTTTGTAATTAAGAAGATTTGTGACCAGGTGAGAAGGCCGGGTCACCTGACCATCTGACCTGACCACCAACCGTTGTGTGCCATTTAAAGATTAGTAGGGTCATTACCTAATACCTGACCATTGTGGACCTGGTCTCACCCTTCTCTGTATATATACACCTTGATTTGTATTTCTTTCTCTAGTCTGTACTCACCCCTGAAGATGTGAATTACACGAAAGCGCTTGGGAACTTCGTGTTTTCTTCTTTCCTTGTGGTTATCAGCATATACCTAGATCACGCGCACCTACAGTGATTTACTTGCATATATATATATACATATATATATATATATATATATATATATATATATATATATATATATATATATATATATATATATATATATATATATATATATATATATATATATATATATAATATACATACATACATACATACATACATACATACATACGCCATACATGTACATACATACATACATACATACATACATACGCCATGCATATATATATATATAGCATATATATATATATATATATATATATATATATATATATATATACCATATATATATATATATATATATATATATATATATATATATACACACACAGTTGTACCCCACTTAACGCGGTCAATAAAACCCAGAGGGTACCGTGTTAAGTGAAAACCGCATTAAGTGAACAACAGAACATATGGGATTAATTCCAATAGAAACCGGCCCGACCCCCAAACTCCACTTTTTGACGACACATAACTATGTTGTAGTAAAAATAACATCTTAATTTTATGATGGTACATGCACACAATTAATACTTAAGAGAAATAGAGAAATACAGTTGCCAAGTTAATGTCCATTCAAATAATGGACTCAACTCCCTCCCCCTCTTTTCACACTACACTGCTGGCTCTTCCCTCTCTGAGAAATTTTTGGGGGAAAACCACTAAATTTTAATAAATAATACCTCAAACTAAAGTTAGGATAATACAATTGACACTGCTGGATTCCTTGTAAGACCAGGAATATTTTGAATATAAATGTCATATATTTTGCACAAAAGATAACATATTTACTCAGAGTAAACATTATATCTAAAATTTGTATGTCTAATGCAAAATCTATGATGTTTATATTCAAAATGATCACCAAATTGTAAGAATTCCAGCAATGTAAATTATATTCTGGCCGGGTAATTTCTATGAATTTTATGAGCTAAAACAAATATCTTCAGTTAATAAAAAAAAAAAATATTCTTCAGACACTATCTGTCAATCAAAGTACCCCACCTTGCCTCCCCCCCTCTTCCAACCGCGGGGTCAGTCCCAACCCTCCCCCCACCCCCCACCAATCCTCCCTTCAAGAGATGTTGGGTGAAAAAACTAAATTTTAACATTTTGTATTAAATAATACCTCAGATTAAAGTTAGGATAATATAATTGACATTGCTGGATTCCTTGTAAGACCAGGAATATTTTGAATATAAATGTCATATATTTTGCACAAAAGATAACATACTTACTCAGAGTGAACATTATATCTAAAATTTGTATGCCTAATGCAAAATCTATGATGTTTATATTCATATTCAAAATTATCATCATATTGTAAGAATTCCAGCAATGTAAATTATATTCTGGCCGGGTAATTTGTATGAATTTTATGAGCTAAAACAGGCAGTCAGGCAGGGTGGCGGGTGGCAGGTGGGGCAAATCTAAAAATAGCCTCTCGAGCCGGACACTCACCGCGTATATGTGGAAAAAACCCGCGTTAAGTGAAAGTTCAGCTCTGGCGAGGCACCGCGTATACGGTAAAACGCGCTAAGTGAAACCGCGTTAAGTAATACTGTATATATATACATACTTATATATATATACGGTATATATATATATATATATATATATATATATATATATATATATATATATATATATATATATATATATATATATATATATATATATATATATATATATATATATATATATATATATATATATATATATATATATATAATATATATATTGACACAGGAAAGAAACAACGGAGCACCTTAGCTTTCGTCTTTATTCAAGACATCTTCAGTTGCCTCTGAAGATGTCTTGAATAAAGACGAAAGCTAAGGTGCTCCGTTGTTTCCCTTTTCCCGTGTGATTTTATCAAGATTTATCTTATCCACGTTTTCATTGTGGTGACTGTGTGGATACCACTCTAAACCTATGTACAGGCATGCACTATGACACAATAGTTAATGTTTACATCTGGAACAGATTAAGTTTTATCCTCAGAAAATATTGTAAAAATAATAATTAAAAATGTTATTCTTTCTAGCGTTTGGGGCTTTTCATAACTTAGAAGGTACTTACTGTATCTTCTATAGAAAAATGCTCCCAAGTTGCTGTTTGACGTGCATAACCATCATACAGTCTAACACCAAATCTGTGGGTCACTGGGTCAGTTATTAGCAGCATGGCTGTGATGCACAGTACTAATTTTTCTTTTCAATTTACTTCATCTTTGTACAATTCTCATTATTTCTCTATAATGTACCAGAACATTCTACATCTCTATGTTGTGTTTAATGAGTAAATAAACCTTTTAAGATTTGTTTGTTGGATTTTTGAGGGCCTCCAATCTCTTACCTCTTACAGTATTTTGTATTGAATACCGTACATGCTGTGTACCTCTATAACACATTTTTTTTTTTCACAAACATTCTTATGATATAACTTGAGGCTACTGTACTTGTCCTCTTTAGTTAGTTTTCCTATTCTGTCTTCATTATAACGCCTTAATTTTCTTTTTCACCAGACAGCACATTATTCACATTCACTATACTGTATTTGTTTCCAAATAACTAATCAATATTCTTCTACCCCTGTTTCAGATTCTGGTGACTGTGGTTATGACATGTGCAGAGTAAGAGTGGTAATGGCACTACGTACTATATTTCATCTACATCAAATTTCTGGAATCTTTACTTTGGAAGTGGATATGTAGAGGATTTTTTATATGTACAAGTGTTTTCTTATTTCATTCCAATACTTATATGCCAGTAATATATACAGAATCTTTGTATAAAAGCCACTACAGTGTACAGTACAGTACAGTATTTGGATTCTTTAATTACAGTATTACTGGGAAGGGGGATGAATCGTGCAACATTCATTATCTGAAATATTCCTTAAACCAAAATTTCA